CACAAAGTTGAAAAAGGGTCATTAAGTTCGGCACATAAATATTAAGTGCACTACGAAAGACGTTGCTTACACGAGTTGCCATGGAAATATGTAATTTATTTCGCAAGAGCATAACATATCTATGTGGGTGTATGATGGATAATGGGATTAACAAATATAAAATGGACATATAAATTTTAAAAGATAATTACAACTAAACACACGACTTCTGCTTATAAAATGCCAAAATTAAGATAGACACTTTGGAAGCACGATAAGAGTTCATAGAAAATTCGAACACTAGACAAATATATAATGCATTAACAAATAAGTCACCGATAAAAAAGCACTGGCAAAGTTGGGAAATGGACGGCAAGAAAAATCGGCGCTGTTCAGCTTGGAGGGGCACTTTGTACGTCCCTTTTGTTAGTTCATATTAACCAAAAGAGCTCATTTTGGCAAGACCTACAACCCCTGTGACTACGAAATTGTTCAAATGAGCAATTCGGCTACAGCAATTTACTGGTCTTCAAAAGGTAACTCGTCCAAGATAAGCCATTAACCCACTCGGTGCCCCCGCCAAGCCGAACTGCGCCGAAAAATCAAATGCGACAGATCTCTTGTGGACAAAAAAACCTAAGCGTCCATTTGCAACTTCAAAACAGTAAGAAAGCTTTCTGTACATGATGGCTAACAAATAACACGTGCTGCGGTAAAATCATATGAGAGCGCTAATAGCCTTAAGGAGGGGCACACTTGTAAGCCTTGTTAACGTCCCAAGTCCTGTGAACTGTATACATGAGAATACCTTGTCAACACCCTGTAAACCCTTGTTCTTACCTGTCAAGCACACGACGCAAGTACCATGTCGCCAAGCTTGACGAAAGTTTACAGGGTACTTGACAGAAAATGAAAAGAAAACAAAGATCAGAACACAATGAGAAAGCTTACATGTTTGACCCCCCCCCAAGGTTATTGGCGCCTCATATATGCATTAGAATGTTCGCATATGGATTAATTCTAGAATAAACGTTTTTCAAAAACACTTTCCGCGACAAGTAGATGAATGAAATAAGGCGGAGGCTCACAGTACTGTACCTTCCTGTCTTCCCTACCTCTTATACTGTAATGAGATAAAAACGCTCTAACGAGTAACCCTCAGTGGTTGTAAGTCCCCGCCTCCTCGATGATCGCGGAAAGTGTTTTTGAAAAACGTTTATTCTAGAATTAATCCATATGCGAACATTCTAATGCATATATGAGGCGCCGATAACCTTGGGGGGGGGGTCAAACATGTAAGCTTTCTCATTGTGTTTTGGTCTTTGTTTTCTTTTCATTTCCTGTCAAGTACCCT